TGTGGATGTGGGGTGTGAGTATGGGTGGAGTGTGTGGGTGTGGGGTGTGAGTATGGGTGGAGTGTGTGGGTGTGGGGTGGGGTGTAGGCGTGGTTGTGGATGTAGGTATGAATGTGGGTGTAACAGAACAGAAGACACACATCCAGACCAACAACTACACCCACATCCATCTCGTTACAATTAAACCAACATATTTATCAAAGTTTCTGAATATTTCATGTAAAATCCTTTTCAATGCAATCTATAATTTCTGCCCGCAGTAATTTGTTAAATATCATGAATGAAATATATTTATCTTTCTCACAATACGTTTTCTTATTGACACAATGTTTATAATATTAATATTTACAACGAAGAAAAATATGAGAAAAAATTTTCTGGAGGAACAAATGCCTCTGGAATTACAAGAGGGTATGAGTGTGGGTGTGAGTGTGAGTGGATGTGCAGTGATGGGTGTGGGTATGATTTAACAGGTTTAATTGCACACTAACACTCACACCCACACCCCACACCCACCCACATCCACCCACTCACACCCACACCCATACTCACTTCATGAAATAAGATTCATCTAAGATTCATTGGCTTGTTCCTCTTTAAAGACATGCTTATAATATTTTGAAAAATCCATAGAGAGAGAATAACAATGATAATGATAACATTCATTTTCATTATTTTATTTAGATTTTGAAAATCTTAATGCAGTGGCGTAGCCAGGAATTTTTGAGTCATGGGCAATTCATCAGCCGAATTACTTTGAGTTACGGGCAGCTAAGGGCAACCGTTATGATTTCAAAGATATACATGGGCAATAACTATTCAAGCACTGTATAGCTCAATAAATCCATGGGCAATAACTTTTGGAGCTATGGGCAATAGCCCAATGGCCCTACCCCTGGCTACGCCACTGTCTTAATGTGTTAAAAAAATTAAAGAAAACAGGAATAATTTAATAATCCTATGAAAATTTGTATTCATTTCTATGGATAATCACTTTCAAGTATAAATTGATATCTATTACCAACCTGGACGTATTTGTGTAAGAAGACGTAATTGGGAATAAGAAGTTCGATGACCAAGTTTTAGCGTTTGTATATTCAATCGAATTTTATTGAATAAATAAGAACAATAAAGTTGAAAAGTTGATAATGATGTTTCACGAAAATTAATACTTTTATAACAATATTCTTCTAATAGATGTGTATATCGTTGGCATTTCATAGATCCAAATATTTTTATTGCTTCAACATGACCTAAGTATGTCCAAATAATCAAAATAAGTTCATTGGGTAAACAATTGAAACAACTTATTATTGATAATAAATGAATATTGGTCATTACGAATTGTAATTGACGATTAACTAAACAATAAGTATGTTTATTCATCGATTTGTTTAGAAAACAACATAGTAATGGAATATTTATTTCTTTATAAAAATTCGCATAAAATTTTTATCTGAACTTAGAGAAGAACGCGTCAACGGGCAGTAGGACAACAAGATCATCCTGCTATATTATCAAAGATGATAATATTAAAATTATTTATGTATTCAATATTTTCATTTCATCAATTACATTTTCATTTAATTATGTTATCATACGAATTTTTGAATATGTCATAAACATAAGAACATCATTTATCGATTGTATAAACAATATCATCGAATTGATCATGCTCATTTTCAATTATAAAAACGACAATCCAATAAATAAATTATTGAAATAGTGGGTATGGTTTAGTATAGGCTCCCACTAAACATAAAGTCCATATCTCACTCTTCGCATCCTCATTCTCACCTCGGTTTCATAGGAAAAGCTCAAAGAGTGAGGGTGTAGAGTGAGGTTTTGCCGTGAGAGCGGGGTGAGGTGAGGATATGGACTTTATGTGTAGTGGGAGCCTACACTAAACCATACCCGAAATAGTTGACCTTTACTGAATAAAAACTTTATATTAAAACGATTCTTTTGATATTTTCTGATACTTAGAAGATCTTCATCTTATGAAACTCTAGCTGAAATCTCTCGTCCTACAAATTTATCTATAGAAGTTAATAGAAAAAAATATAAAGTTCTAGTGAATAATAGTATTCATTCATTACTGATCGTTATTTTTATGCTCAAATAATAAACGTGAGTAATCATCCTCTGGAAAGAAAAATTCAAACATAGCTGATCGTTTTTCACACCATTAAAACTTCTATAGTTTCGAAATACAACATATTATCTATCAAAACTTTACAGAGATTGAGAAATGTTTGTTTTCTTAACACAATAATTAACTCAATAACAAAATTTTCTTTTTCAGTTCCGACAAAAATAACGATATGTATGTTCACAATTGATAATTCAAAAATAGGTAAAAAATACAACAGATCGATGTATAAGTTTCAAAAAGAGTTTAGGTTACTTTAATAATAATTCTATTAAATAATTTACTTTTCAATCAGATAATTAAGATACAATCGATTTCGTCTTTCATCTTGACAATAGTCGTTAAAAATACCAATGATTTCTGAGAATATCACTCAAAACTAAAATCTTCCATGAAAATCTAAATCTCTCTTTTGTCAAAATAGATGATTCTATTTATTTAATATGTCTTCAATACTTTTTATAAGAAAAGAAATAGAATTATTTCAATCGATTAAAAACACAAATCATTTTCTTCATTTACTTAGGACAATGTATATTTGAAAGATATTAATTGTGCAATATGTTGCTCATACGACAGACTTTTTTCGATAATATTAAGTTTTTTCTTTTTTTTTTTTTTTTAAATAAAACTCATCATTAAATACATTGATAGGTAGCAATTGTTTTCAAAATTTCTATCATCTTTATTTCAATAGTGTCTTGTTGTCTTTTCTATAGAATTGATACTCATATCTGCCCGAGAAAAGTTCATTCAAAGGTCAACAACAAATCTAACCAGACTGAAAAATAAAATGAGAAGACATTTATATAGCAGCGAATTCAATATCTTTCGATTGTTCGTGTTTATCGAAAAATATTTACTAAAAATAGTTCATATATGCGACTAATGTAGAACAATGTTTTTCTATAAATGTAAACTGTATTATCTCACGTTGTCGAATAGAAATATTTGCTTTTGTTTAATAATTATTTGCT